TTTTTTTTTTTTTTTTTGAGACAATAAACCAAAGCAACTCACAGAAGTAAAATCTAAACCAAAATTAAGGAATTAAGAATTTCTTATATAATAAAGAAACTTTGCTCTTTAGAGTTCAATTTTCCACAGTCACTTATGAAACAGTAACTAAATGTTCCTCTATTTATAAAATATCATTCTCAATTAATACAAATACTCTTTGGGGTTTTTCATTAATTAAAAAAGAATTTACTAGGCAGATATTAAGTGCCAGAAAATGTCATAAGTGTTTAGAATATAATAAATTAACTGGCTTCTCTACTTTTATAGAGCCCAAAGTTTTATTTCTGGTCCCTATGTCACCTTCTCAAGAATGTTTATTCTATGAAGGAAAAAGAAAAGTAAATAAAGGTGTAGTGTGAAGAAATATATTAGAAAGGATGACATGAATGAGAACATTCCAACAAGAAACTGACAATGATCTTGGCATCTCTGAGAAACAGTAAAGAAGTTAGTGTGAATGGAGCACAAGAGTTAAGCAAAGATCAGAGGAAAGCAGGGGCAGATTTAACAGGCCTGAAAAGTAATGAACAGAGTTTAAATTTGGGGTGGGGGACCAGGGATTGAACTCGGGTTCTTGAGCTTGCGAGGCAGGCGGCAGAACCACTGAGCTAAATCCCTGGCCTTCAGGAGTTTAAATTTTATTTGAAATAGGAACTTAGAGATGTAGCTAAATAGCAGAGTACTTGCCTAGCGTATGAGGCCCTGGGTTTAATCTCCAGGGCAGGAAAGAAAGAAGGAGGAAGGGAAAAAGGAAAAGAAGGTATTCATCTTTTTAAACCATGACTCAGTGGTTTTTCAGTATAGTCATAGTGGGACTGGGTGTGTGGCTCAGTGATAGTACACTTACCAAGTACAGTCACAAAGTTGTAAACTATCATTATCATTTGATTCCAGAACATTTTCACCATCTCAAAAAAGAAACTCTACCACTTAGCCCATTACCAAACCAGTGATTTGCTCTGTTTCTATGCATTCAATGTATGTGTGTGTGTTTGTGGGTGTGTACATACATGTGTGTGTTACTAGGTATTTAACCCAGGGCCTCTACACCAAACTATATCCTCAGTCTCTTTTTTTAATAATTTTGAGACAAAACCTTACTGAGGTGCTAATACCTCCAGCTTGGATCGAACTTGCAATCCTCTGGCCTCAGCCTTTCAGAGTGCTGGGATTACAGGCATGCACCAGGCAATCCTGCACACTGCATATAAATCACAAGGGCTGGGGATTAGCTCAGTGGTTCCACCACCTGCCTTGCAAGCACAAGGTCCCAAGTTTGGTCCTTGGTATCAAAAAATAATTTAATCATATAAATATGTGGTTCTTGTGTGAAGCTTTCATTTAGTATGCTTTTAATGTTCATGCATACTGTAGCAGATATTAGTACCTCACACTTTTGTATGACTGAATAATATTCCATTCCACAATATGCCATATTTTGTTTAGGAATTTATCAGTTGATGAACATTTGAACTGTATGACTAATGTGCTATGAATATTCTTGTATAAGTTTTTGTGAGGACACACAGTCTTGGGCATATAATTAAAAGTACAATTGATGAATCATATGGTAACTTTTGTTGTAACTACCAAAGTGTTTTCCTAAGTAGTTGCAACATTTTACATTCCCAACTTCTCTATATCCTCAGAAAAACGTGTTATTACTCATCTTTTTTACTTCAGCCATCTTAAGTAGGTATACAACTGTTTATGTATATAACTTACCATTTGTATGTCATCTTTGGAGAAACGTAATTTTTTTAAAAAGGTCATTCTGGTTATAGTACATCAAAAGGACAGCAGAAAGAGAGGACAAACAGAAGCAAAAAACTAGTCAGGAGGCAAGTGAAGTTGTCTAGGCAAGGCTATTTTGGCTTAACCTAGACTTATGAACAAGGATATGCTATCAAGCCACAACTCAGGTTATGTTCTTGTTATGCTTTGTGTTTAGATGTCCCACCAAAGCTTCATGAGATGAGGTGGGACTTTTTTTTCAGAAGCAGTTGAATCTAGAATGTGTGATGCAGGGGTTAAGGGAGCGTGATCACTAAACCACTACACATAAGCGACTGATTTGGCACCAGCCTAATCTCTGTAGTCTGAATAAAAGGGGCAGAATGACACTGTTAAACTCATTACCTTTGCTACCTTGTGTGTGCCATGTTGTTTCTCCCCTGCAATGCCTGTTTGCCATCCCTGCCTTGGAGCCAGTCCATTATAGACTAAAATCTCTACAAACTGTGAGCTGAATAAACCGTTTCCCCTTTAACTTTAGGTGTCAGGTATTTTGTCTCAGCAATGAAACAAAAGTAACGCAATTCTGAAGAATTGAGGGATTCGATGTAGGTTAAAAAAAGAAATATCTAGCAATATGTGATGGCACATGCTTACAATCCCTGCTGAGGCAGAAGAGTAATAAGTTCAGGCCAACCCAGGCAACTTAGTGAACCCTGTCTAAAAGGAAAAAAATAATAAAAATGGGCTGGGGTGTAGCTCAGTGGCAAAGCACTTGTCTAGGATGTGTCAGGCGCAGGGAATGGGGGGCGGTAGGCTGGTCTCACTATGCTGCCCATGATACAACCTACATCCTCATGCCTCCTGAGCCGCGAGGAGCTAAGATTAGAGGCATGAAGCACCAATCGTTCTCTAGATCATCCACAGTCTGTAGACCACTGTAAGAATTCTTTTAGTCTAAGTAAGAAAAGGAGATAAAGAAGAGCTTTGAGAAGCATAATGTCTTGTCCTGAATTAACATAAGACTATTGGAGCTGCTGTGTTGGTAACAGACACTAAGGGGACAAGTTAGGAAACCTGGAATCAAAGATAATGACAGGTTTGGGCTTGAACAAGGAAGAGCAGATGAGAAGTGCTGTTAATTCAGATATGCAAGAGTATAAGAGGAAGAGATCTGGGGGAAGCTCAGAAACTCAGTTTAATAAATGCTATATTCAAAATACCTACTAAATACGGAAATGAAGATATCAACTAGGGATGTAAATATATAAATCTGGATATATCTATTTTGTTTATATTTAAGTTTTGCATAGGTCTTGAATATCTCATTCAACTTCTCCCTCATCTACAATACATAAGATAAGCTTGCAGGCAACGTAACACTGAAGGGACTGCTGTACTTGCCAGTGGCTGTGGAGGGCGAGAGCTGCAGCCAGGGAGTAGTCCACTGCAGAGCAAGGATTCAAATATGCAGCTGGAAGCAGGCCCAGGAGCAAAACACTGACTATCCTTTCACTAGTCCAGTGGAGAGATGCAGCCTTAGAACCAGCTACAAAAAAGAAAAGATTCCTAAGAGTTGAAGGAAGATATACACATCTCTCACATCCAACATTTATCACTTAATAACCTAAACTGACAAAAAGGTAAACAGCAGCCGGGTATGGTGGCGCACGCCTGTAATCCCAGCACTCAGGAAGCTGAGGCAGGAGGATCGCTGTGTTCGAGACCATCCTAAACTGACAAAAAGGTAAACAGCAGCCGGGTATGGTGGCGCACGCCTGTAATCCCAGCACTCAGGAAGCTGAGGCAGGAGGATCGCTGTGAGTTCGAGACCAGCCTGGGCTACAAAGTGAGTTCCAGGTCAGTCTCAACTACATAGTGAGACCCTGTCTCAAAAAACAAAAACAAAAAACAAACAAAAAGGTAAAGAGCAGGGGCCAGGGCAAGTGCAGGGTCCTGAGTTCGATCCCCAGTACCGTAAAGAAAAAAAAAAAGTAAACAGTACAGATAAGATTTAACACTGTACCCTTTCTCTGAAGTCCTTTAGTTCAAGAATATCTTAATACCTGAATATACTAATGAGAAAACAGATCTGCTTTACTTCTACACAAGGTAGATGAAAATTCTGTGAAATTAAGCCAACTTTGGACTTCAGTGAAATACAGATATCTTAAAAACTTAAGTCAGTGATGCCTGATGAATTCCTTTAAAATAACACTTGTTGGGGCCAGGGATTTAGCTCAGTGGTCCACTGCCTGCCTCTCAAGCATAAAGTCCTGAGTTCAATCCCCAGTACCAAAATAAAATAAAATAATACTTGTTTATTGACAAAGGTTTTTTGGGGTTTTTTTTGACATAGGGTCTTGCTATGTAGTTCAAGCTGGGACTCAAGGTAGTCCAGGCTGGCCTCAAATTCATGGTGATTCATCTACTTCAGTCTCCCAAGTGCTGGAATTATAGGCACGTGATGCCACATCCGGCTTTAATGGCACCTTTTAATTTGGGGGATTTTTTTTAAATTTTGGTACCAGGCATCAAACTCAGGACTTTGCGCTTTCGAGGTAAGCAGCAGAACCAGTGAGCTAAATCCCCAGCCCTACCTTTTACTCTTTGAAAGTAATGAATATTATCCACCTAAAACAAAATTAATTCAACTAACTCAAAGAGAAGCAAAGGTCTAAGGTCCTTTTAGGATCACGGTTCTCCCATCCCATTATTTACAAACAAGTCCAAAACAGTGAGACACAAAAAATACAAACAAATAAAAAAACTATATGGGCTTTAAACATTTCTTTGAGAGGCTATCTTTTTCTGAGGTTCCACACTCCTTTTAGAATGTAATAAGAAAAGGAAGTTTCTTCCCAGAAAGTATCACATAGGCACATATATAAAAATGCACGAATATGTCATTGCCTGCTGTGCAAGTGCAAGGTCCTGAGTTTGATCCCTGGTACCAAAAAAAAAAGGAGCATGAATACAACTTCAAGACATTTTCTTCAATGCTTCTCCAGAATGACTCTGAAGTAAGCAAATCAATGCCAAATAAAACCTTTTCAAAGATAGAAAAAGTCTTAAAAAGCAAAACAAAATAAACAACAACAAAAAAATTACACTCTCCTAATCTAACTCAAATATAACTTACATGGTTGAATTAAGAATCAAGAGAGGGGGGCAGGAATGCAGCTCAGCAGCATAGCTCGTGCCTAGCAAGAACAAGGCCCTGAATTTGATTCATAGTACCAAAAAATAAGAATAATTTTTTAAAAAAAATCAAGAAGTCTTGAATACTGACCTCTTCAGACTTTAAAAATGGAAATACACTCATCATTATTCACCCTCAAATTTTCTAAGACTTATGTGAATAAAAGCTAAACAATACTTACTTAGGAAATATAGGGTTTTAAATCAAACTAAAAAAGAAAAGCAATATACATGATACAACCCAGAAGATACGAGTTGTAAAACTATCTCAATCATCCACAACTGGTCCATCACATTACCTAAAATAAAAGTAATTTGACTATAGTGGGGCAGCAATCCTACAGAGCTATTTTAAGAAAGCTTTTTAAAAATTTAAAGACTTAGGCCAGAAGATTCTCTCTAAATATAAATGGCACCATTTAACCATGCTGCCCCAAGCTATAAATTAGGTCTTCATTTGTCAAAGGCAAACATGAGAGTCTGGCCAAATCTCAAGTTCAAAATGTAACACACATCAAGTCCTGCCAAAGGCATGATAAATAGTTCAGCTAAAGATGATCAGAACCCAGAAAGCAGAGGGGTTGGAGAAAACATACAATGACGGCTTGGTGTCAGGTGAATGTGCTGTGTTCCATACCACCCTGGAGAAAGTCGGTCTTGGAGAAATGCTGAGACATGAGCAGGTTTGACCACTGGAGTTCGAAGGAACAGACCTGAGGAAAGAAACGAGATCACAAGCACCCCTTCTTTAACAGGACTGACAGACTTTCTAAATGACAAAAAGCAAGCTGCTTAGTCTTAAACAGGTGATATCTATAACACTAGGACAGCATCATTTCACTGAGTTACTGTAAAGTTGGACTAAGTAGCCATCAAAAGACTGAGGAATCAATGAATCATTTATATAAAAGGGTTTTGCTTTTGTTTATTTTTTAAATAAATGGTTCCATCTATTCATCTATTTATCTAATATTTACTAAATCTAAGACTGTGCTTGGCATAGGAGCAAGATAGAACATAGTCTGCTCTCACAGAACTCAGTCCAGCCTGGAAAGTTCAACTACGACCTTCTTTTCTAATGTCTCCACTTACTTTTTATTTTGGTACCAGGAATCAAACTCAGGACCTTGCACTTGCAAGGCATGCAACAGCACCACTGAGCTAAATCTCCAGCCCTGTCTCTATTTTTACATACTTACACACACATATCCAGTATTAGAGACTGAACGCGTACAGCACTGGGCTACGTCCCAGTTTTATTTATTTTGAGATAGGGTATCACTGAGTTGCCCGGTCTGGCCTCAAACATATAATTCTCCTGCTGCAACCTGCAGAATAGATAGGATTACAGTTGCACTCCACTTGTACCCCTGAACTATCCCTTTCTGCCCCATTTTAGGTCCTGCCTCTTGGTTAAAAGGCAAGAGCTAAATTCACCCAGCCATATCACTTATTAGGTGTGACATGACAAGCAACTAAGTTAAATAAATTCTACAAATCTCAATTTCCCCATTTCTATATGGGAAATAACTGCAGTTACTTCACAATACTCTATATAAAAAATCAGATAATGCTCACAAGATGTTTAGCACAGTTCTCAGAATGTTAAAGGCACAGGGACGGTCATTTAGCTCAGTGGCTCTGCCACATCTGCTTTGCAAGTACAAAGTTCTAAGTTCGATCCCAGGTACAAAAGAATGTTAAAGGCACAGAAACACAAAGAAGGTAATTTCTTATTTTCTTTCTTTAAAGTCCTTTGGCCACTTTTCCTCACCTGATGTAAACATATTTAACGATTCTCTTGACCCATGTCCTGTAAATAACAACCATGAACTTTCCCCTCCTTTCTTCTCTTTCCAATCTTGTTTCTGTAAAGTGCTGTCTAAAGTACTTCCTTACTTTCCATCCTTTAACTCTGAAATATTTTTACACTCCTTGTAGCTGCTCCAGTAGAGAACAACCAACAATCTGCACATAACCATAGACAATACTTAACTGTTCAGTTGTAATTTTATTGGGCCTTGCTAGATCGCCTGGCATTGGGAACCCCTTCTTTTTCTGACTTTAGAACTTTTTGGTTTGTTTTTTGAGACAGGGTTTCACTGTGTAGTCCAGGCTGGCCTTGAACTTGTGGCGATCCTCCAGCTTCAGCCTCCTGAGTGCTGGGATTACGGGTGTGTGCCACCTCATCTGGCCAGAACTCTTGTTGTTAGTTCTCCTGATACTCTGATCATACCATATCAGTCTTCTCCTGCATTCCTGCTGTTTCCCCCAGGATTCTTTAACTGCCCATTGTTATCCTCAGTTCCTATACCCACCCAAAGCCTTTCATTTACTCTCATAGTTTCACTTACCTATCAACTAACAATATCCACATTTGTGACTCTTACCCTAATACCTCACCAGGTTTGGTTTAACTGCCACATGAACTTCTCCACAGAGATGCTTATATTGAAATCCTTCAACTCATATTTCTTCCCAAACTTTTTTTTCCTATTTTGTTCCTTACTTTATTTAATGACACCTTACGCACCCTTTAAACTACCCCAGAAATCTGGAAATAATATAGGACATTCCCTCTAAATTTATTCACCAGAGCCGGGTATTTAGCTCACTTTCACCCCACCTGCCTCACAAGCACAAGGTCCTGAGTTTGATCCCCAGTACCAATACATAAATCACCAAATCTGATATTTCTTTTCTTTTTTTTTTAATATTTATTTTTTATCTTTATTTTTTAATATTTTCTTTTCTTTTTTTTTTTTTTTGGTACCAAGGATCAAACTCGGCACCTTGTGCTTGAGGCAGGCAGTTGGAACCACTTAGCTAAATCCCCACTTAGCTAAATAGCCCTTACTAATATTTCTTGAGACAATCTCCCTTTTCCTTTTTATTTTTCCAAGCTTAGGTCTTCTTCACCTTGCCTAGACTACAACAGTGTCAAATCTCTCTGACTTCAATCTGGGCCTGCTTCATTTTCCACTATGGCCACCTATTACATTGTTATCAATGGCAAATTGAAACTGAATCTGCAAGTTTTTTAATGGCTACCTTTCAGGATTGCTTGAGCCAAGGAGATAGATGTAAGCCAGTCTGGGGAACACAGTGAGATCCTGTCTCAGGAAAACAAAACAAAGCAAAGCAATGGCTACACTTCAATACCAAGTAAGTGTATAATGTTTTACCAAGATAAGTTCTTTTGTAGGCAGGCAAAGTGGCACTGGCCTGAAATTATTTGGAATGATGAGACAGAAGGATAACAAATTCAAGGCCAGTCTAGGCATCTTAGCAAGACAATCTCAAACTCAGGCACATGCCTGAGCACTTGGGTGAGGCAGGAAGATCAACACAAGTTCAAGGTCAACCTGGGCTACACAGCCAGATCCTATCTCAAAATGACATTCAAGGGCCGGGGATTTAGCCTTGTGGTGCTTCTGCCTGCCTTGCAAGCACAAGGTCCTGGGTTCGATGCCTGGTAAACAAACAAACAAAAAAGATTCAGTAGTTGAGTTCTTGTGCAAGGTCTTACATGAAAAACAAAAATTTCTATGGGCCTGGGATTTAGCTCAGCGGTTCCACCACCTGCCTGGCAAGCGCGAGGACCCGCGTTCGATCCCAGGTACCAAAAAAACAAAAAAAAAACTTCTGTGATTTAATTCCACTTTACCTTTCTAAATTCATTTCTCCCCTTGACCTTCACACTCACCAACTATCTGATTTGTTTTCTCTCATACTGTGCAGCTTCTATGTCTTCATCTTTGCTTTTAGTCATTTCAGTACCTCTAACCATACTGTCCTTCTTTCCTTGGCTTTCTTTATCCTCAAGACTCAAATCAGGTACATGTCTTTAAGAATCAAGATTGGGGGGGAGGAAGATCGGACAATCCTTTCAAAACACAGCTAACATACTCTTTCTTTGAACTTTACTAAATTATGTACAACAGAAATTTTTGCTTTATGTTGATTACGCATAAGTGCATTTTTCTTTAAAAAAATGAAAGCACTGTGATGGTAGGAATCATCTTATATTCATATCTGTATTTCTACAGTATCTGGTATAGAACCAATGACCAGTTAAATGATTATTGAACCGATGATCCTCCACACCCATATACAAACATACCAACCTAGGGCAAACAGGCAAGACCAAGTACTGTATTGAGGTTCAAATCCTAATTCTCTTTCTCAATTCGGGGGCAGGGCTCATTTTAAGAACCGTAAATGGAAGCCGGGCACGGTGGCGCAAGCCTGTGATCCCAGCACTTAGGGAGGCTGAGGCAGGAGGACCGCTGTGAGTTCGAGACCAGCCGGGGCTACACAATGAGTTCCAGGTCAGTCTCAATTACTCGTGAAGCCCTGTCTCAAAAAACAAAATAAAACAAATTTTAAAAACCAGTAAATGGAAAAAACAAACAAAAAAGAATTATTATGTGGTATAACTTCCAGGGAGAGCTTTCTTTAAAATTATCCTATCATCACGTCAGCAGGGGAGATGAACTTTTGGGCCCGTAGGCGACGGTGGTCATTGCTGAGATTTGGACAGGCGCCTGGGAGGATGAAGGGAAGAAATGATAGATTCCTTCCTTCTCAAGACTTCTCTCATCACCTGGCAAACAAGCTGTCACTCCCAACCACTTTCCCTGCTGTGTTAGGCATCTCCAGCTGACAGAACCCCTCACCTCGGGATCCTTGGGCACCGCAGAGGACACTCAGCCTCAGGATAGCCGCCATCTCGCTTTGGAAGCCTCAAGGTCGTCCATCAACCCGGAAGTACAAATCCTACCCCGTGACAACAAAAGAAAACGCGGGGAGGAAACGCTAGATGAGCAGGAAGTCAAGACGCGCCGCGCGCCGGTCGCACATGCGCACACTCTCTCCCGAAATCCTAATCTTTACTCTGACAATGGCGGACCTGGGTGAGGCGGACGAAGCGGAGTTGCAGCGTATGGTGGCGGCCGAACAGCAGAAGGCGCAGTTCACTGCACAGGTGCACGGACGGGTATCAGCTCTTGCGAGTGGAGGGAAAGGAGAGTGAGGTACAGGTCCCCATACCGACGGAGCTCTGGAGGGGCGGTGAGGCAGACGGCTCGGTGCGCGGTACTGGCTGCATCCCATTCCCCTTGCATGGTACGAGATCTGGCCCTGATGTTTTTGGTGGCCGATGGTGCTCATATGCTTGCTAAACCAGCGCAGCGTGAGAAGAAAAGGCCAAGGATAGCGAAAGGTTTGGTCTACCGACAGGGGAGCCTTATTACGTGGTTGGACCCCTTCTAGGCTGGCACTAGGAAGATCTGTCTGATCTGCCCCTTGAAGGGCCGGCCTATGTGGGTTTTTTTTTCCGCCGTCGCCCATTGTCTCGCTAGATTGTGAAAATGGTTTGTGATGTTGTATTTTAGAACGATGAGTACTAGAACATTTTTGGACAAAGGTGGGCTCTGAGGTAAACAAGTGTACACTTTTGTTTAGGACCATGTTTTAGACCTTTAGGCATGTTCACCCCAAGCTTCTCTTTTTGCTAGCTGCATGACCTTGAACTTCTAATCATACCCACCTAAAGTCCCGAGTGAATAGACTACCGCCCAAAAGTAATCTCTCGGTACATGGTTTTCTTTTTCTGGGAGTACTGACGATGCAGGCTGTGTGGCAGGAACCCCCACTAGAAACTTTGAGCCTGAACAGTCTTAAGTGAAGACATTTTCTGGGGTAGGGATCCATGACCTTCATCAAACTCTCTCACTTTGTAGTTCAGGCTGGCTCTAAACTATGTGTGGCCTCAAACTCGTGACAGTTCTTCTCAGGAGCCTGTCTCCTGAGTGCTGAGATTATAAATGTGGGCCATAACGCCTATCAAACTCTTAAATGTGTCCATGACCGCTAAATTTAGGACATACTCTAGGTTCCAATGATGGTTCAAAATGGTTTAAATTGATACTATCTTTCCATTTTATATTGGTTTCTTAGGGATCTGAAAGGGGGATTTACCAACTGTGGGACAAGGGTCTGGGTCATACTGGTGACAAATTAGAAAGTGAAGAAATACAAGAATCCAAATTGATTCCATAGTTAATTCCATGTTGAGAACAGTTTTATCAGGTCATGAAAAAAAAAAGAACAGGATGGCCATGGTGACACATGCCTGGAGGCTGAGGCAGATCACTTGGAGTTCAAGCCAGCCTTGGGTATGTAGAGAGTTCAAGGCCAGCATGAACTACATATGGAGACCCTGTCTCAAAAAAAGAAAGAAAAGGGACAAAGTTAGGCCTACTTCCAGACCCCAGTGGTAACTGATTTTCTTTTCCTTTTAGGTTCATCACTTCATGGAGCTATGTTGGGATAAATGTGTGGAGAAGCCAGGGAATCGCCTAGACTCTCGCACTGAAAATTGTCTCTCCAGTTGTGTGGACCGCTTCATTGACACTACTTTTGCTATCACCAGTCGGTTTGCTCAGATTGTACAGAAAGGAGGGCAGTAGACCAACCCCTGGGAGAATAACAGAAGCAGCAAAGGACTTATTCAGATTGAAGTGCCACTGGGGAAGAGTTGTCAACCCACTGTCAGCATCAGTCTGTTGGTACTACAAAGTAACAGATCAAATGTACAAAACATTTATTTATTTATTTGGAATTCAGAAATTCCAGGTTGTAACATCAGCTATTCAATAAATGAATTCTCCCGCTTTTTTTTTTTTTAAATCCCATTTTAGGATTTAACATAGATATCTGATTGGAAGGAACACTAGAAATAAATATGTTCCAAGGCTGCTAGTTGAAATGGGAGATCATAGGTTTTGAAGAGCCATCTTTAGCCATCAAAGCCTTAGCCTAATGCATAGACGAGAATTAAGGGTTGAAAAAGGTGAAGAACAGAAAACAGTTTTATTGCTTTACACAGCCAAGAATAGATAAATGTGTTCAAAAAAAAAAGTATTCCTCGGGAAAAAGTTAAGCCTATTAGTATGGGTGGAGGGTAAGATCAAGACCCAAAACAGGGCCACCTTCCTGGAGGAGCTTCATTCCACTGACCTACTTTCCTGTATCTGTGCTTAAGAATCAGTACTTTAGAGCATAAAAACAGTGCTAAAAAATACATGCTAAAAATTTTCAACAAAAATTCCATTTGTTCCAAGAAGGTTAAGAGGTAGTATAGACTCTTCCCATTGTAGACCTCCACTTATCCTAAGGATAAAAATACACTCCAGAGAACATTAACAATTGAGTACCAAAGCATTAATATTTCAAATAAATATCCCAAAAGGTAGCACCTGCTCATAATGAAGAAATAGGGCACCTCTAGCCAACTATGTAACTTAAAACCAAGCATTTAGAAATCTGTTCCACAAAGAGAATTAAGAACTATTAAAACCACCACTTCATGGAATGTCATCATAGTTGTATTCTATTGCTGGTGTCTTAAAACTGTTATACTACCATGAAGTATTTTATTACACATGAGGAAAGTAAGGCCAGGGAGGTTAACTTAACCTGCTCTAGAACTCTACCAATTTAGCAGAATCTCAAGACCAAAAATCTGGACTTTAAGCTTTTTGCTTAGCTCTTAAAGTTGACAACCAGGAAAAAAACATGTCACTCCATCTTCCCTCCTATAATGAAAAATTCACTTGTGTTCTATCAACCTTCTTTCAGTGATATTTTGGTTTCATAAGAATTACATAGTAGGGATCATAGTATAGCAAAAGGAAAAGATGTAGTCTCCACCTGGTACTTTAATCCAAAAGCAGCCTAGAAAAAAGTATGTCCCTGAGAAGCTTCGTTAATTTGGGAATGGATTTCAACTTAGTTTCAGGGAAAATATAAAATTAATGAACAGAATTAGAAGTGAATAAGGAGGACAACAGGGCTGGGGGTATAGCTCAGTGGTAGATCAATGTCTAGTATATGTAAGGCCCTGGGTTCAATGCCCAATACTGCCCCCTCCCCCCCAAAAAAAGACATTTAAATAGCCATTGCTCTGAATCTCTTTCAGAACATAATTTGCATAACTGACTCCTACTTCTTCCCATTTAATAGATGTCACCTCCAACAACTGAAATAATTTCAAACACAGGTCCATTTAGGCAATATACAACAATGGAACTACAAAACCATTTACTATCCAATTACCAGATGTTAGGGCTATAAGGAAATCTGAGAAAACCCTAGTCCCTTACAACAGTTGTCTATTGATATTATCATGAAAGGAAAAGGTTTGTTCTTATGCCCATTTCCTCATAAAGTGAACTAGACCATAGCTATGAAATCAAAACACAGAAGGATCAAAGCACCAAGGCTAGAGACAAGTTAGATTTGACACCTACTATATAAACGACAGCAGCATAGTGTTCCCTTCTCCATCCACTTCTTACAATCTCTCTCTCTATCCCAGCTCTTAATTTCCCCCAATTCAACATTCCAACAGGTGTATCCAGGTCAATATTGGTTTTAGTTTTCTGGGACCTTTAATTTCCTATATATGTACTCTACACTAAATGTGATTAATTGCAAAAAATAATCTCTTCAAGAAACCTTCATAACAAAATACCAGATTCCCTATTAACAAGAAAAGGGGATCAAGTTTAACAGGCCAAAATAGAAGACAAGGAGTCTGTCGAAACATGTACAGCTGGCACAGAACAGCTCCGACCTCAGGCCCCCTGTGCTGAAGGAGTCACTAGCAGAAACCCCTAGATGTAAGAACTGTAAATATCCAGAGTCAAGTGGGAAACAAGAATGTTTTCTTTCCCATTTAGTCATCCTCTGAGCTCTCAGCAGATCTCTCATCTGTAGCCACTTTCCAATTTGTGCGTTTGTTTGTCCTTTTCTGTATTTCATTGTTAGCTACAGGGATGTGAACTTTTTCCTCTCTCCTTTTCCTTTTGGTTTTCTTAGTGTCTCTTTCCTCACTTTCTTCGGAACTACTAGATGCTGAATCATCTGACTGGGAAGTATGACTTTCTGTCCCTAAAAATAAAACTGGTTTTTTAAGAGACTTTTTTGGGGATTTTTTCTTGCGCTTATGTGGTTGCTTCCTTTTCCTGGTACTAGAAGCACCAGTTTCTTCTGAGAACTCACTTGAGGAATCCGCTGTTACAACGATGGCTTCTTTCTTGCTTTTCTTTTGCTTTTTGTGTGACCTTTTTTTCTGCTTCTTTTTGTGGGACTTCTTTGACTTCTTATGTTTGCGGGACTCATGGGTAGATGATTTTATCTGAGGAGATGTTTTCTTCCCATTGGTAATATCTTGCTGCTCACTACTGAGAAAAAAAGTAAAAAAGATAACCTTTTATGTAGAAAGTATATCTTAATACTCTGCATTCTAGACAAGAAATTGTTATCTGAATTTTAAATAAAACTTTGACATAGGGATATTTTGAGAGTTACCTACTTTTATTTTTGGGAGGTTTTGTTTTCTCCTCTTTAAAATAAAGATTAAAAAAGGAAAAAAGGTAAAAATTCTAATCTGCCATACTAAGTTACTGTATAGAATACTAACCACCAGTCCCTTCTTATCCATGTTTTCAGTTACCCAGTGGTTTGTTACCCATTGTTAATCATAGATAAATGGAAATATTAAAATGGAAAATTCCAGAAATAATTCATGTTTCAACTATGTCATTCTGAGTAGTATCATGAAATTTCTCATGATCCCTCTGTCCCACCTGAGACCTCTGTTCAGCTATCTCCCCCTTAGTCGTGTAGTAGCCATCAGGGTTATCAGAGCCACTGTCATGCTATAGTAGTGTTTGTGTTCTAGTAACTATTATTTTACTTAGTGTCCCCACTGTACAAGAGTAGTGAGACTGGCAATGCAGATATGCCAAAGAGAAGCCATGGAATACTTCCTTTAAAGTGAAAAGATAAAAGTTTATCATAGGTATGAATGTACAGGAAACAACAGTGTAGACAGGATTCATACCATATGAAGTTTCAGGCATCCACTTGGGGGTCTTGGACCTATCCCCAGTAGATAAGGGAAACTATTACACATAAAAACCAAAATGTTTATAGACATGTCAAACATCAATCAAGGAAAGGCCCAATAGGAAATGCCTTCCAACTAAATCATGTTTTGGGACAGGGTCTCCCTACATTGCCTAGGCTGGACTCAAACTTCTGGACTCAAGTGATCCTCCTACCTCAGACTCCTGAGAAGCTGGCATTATAGGTGTGTGCTATCACACCAGGCTCTAGCTACATACTCAGTGGCAAATATAGCCTCTGGAAAGTTTGGAACACAATTTATAGTACAGATTTTGTACTAATCTTACTTTCTAACTGTCCAGTAAGCCTATTTGCCTTACCTGTCTGTTTCAAATTCTTCTGGGTATAACTCCTTATAACCACTGTGACCCCATCTGTAAGATGACACATTACATTTATTATTAAAGCAAAGCATAAATTTTGGAAATTAAAGTTAGAAAGATGTTGAAGCACATGCATATACAGCCATGACAGTTCTGTAACAGCTACATTTTCTTTACTGTACACCACCATTTCAGACAAAAGATTCTTCTATCCATTTGTACAAATTTGCCATGCTCCTCTTTAAGAAACACTAAAGAACTCATATTTTCTAATGCTGTCTACGATGGAACAATTATTTTTGTAAAAATAATACAATTTTAAAATGTTTTTGTTTTTTTGTTTTTGGTACCATGGGTCAAATGGGTCCCTGAGCTTTTGAGGCAGGTGGTGGAACCACTGAGCTAAATCCCCAGCCCACAATTTTAAAATGTTTATTGAAATGTGATTCACATACCAAGATGGTACCAAAAAAACAAAACAAAAACACATACCAAGAAATTTGCATGTGTGTGTGTGTGTGTGTGTGTGTGTGTGTGTTTTCGTTTGGGGGATCGAACTCCGGACCTTGCATTTGTGAGGCAGGTGGCAGCACCACTGAGCTAAATCCCTGGCCCCCTTTTTCTGGTTATTGAGACAGGATCTCTCTGTGTAATTCAAGCTGGCCTTGAAATCACTATGTAGCCCAGGTTGGCCTTGAACTTGCAGCAATCCTCCTGCCTCAGCCTCCTAAGTGCTGGAATTACAGAGTGCGCCACCACTCCTAGATGCCCTTTTAGAGTATAGTGACTCATGAGCCAAATTAAAACCCTTAAAAAAAATAAGAGTGCCTTGGCAACCATTAATCTGCTTTCTGTCTTGATGGACTTGTTTATTCAAGACATACCACATACATGATAATACAGTATGTGGCCTTTTGTGTCTAGCTTCTTTCACCTCAGTAAGTTTTTCAAGATTTAACCATGTTCTACCACTTTTAAGTACTTCACTCCTTCTATTGCCAAATAATATTCCATTGTATGGATTTCCCATTTTGTTGATCTATTCATCAGTACATAGATATATGGGCCGTTTTTTGGCACAGTACTGGGAACTGACTCCAGGAAACCTCAACCCTCTTTCTTTTTTTTTGAAGCAAGATCTTGCTAATTTGTGCTAACCTCAAACTTATGATTGTCCTAAGTCAACTACCCAAGTAGCTGGTATTACAGGCCTGTACCACTGTGCGTGACTTAGTTTTCTACTTTTTGACCAGTATGATTACCTTGTATACAGGGGGTTTTTTGGGTGGGGGGT